CTATTAAAAGTTTCCTACTCACCGGTTTTACCGCAGTCGCCGGAATATTAGTGAGACTTCTCGAGCGAAAAAATATCCTCGGCTCACGATCATATGAAGCAGCTAAAGGTGAGTTACCTTACTTTTCTGTTACATTATGACACGTGGGGAGGGGGATAAGCTTTAGACATAATATAGCAAAGTCAACGAAATTTAAATAAAGATTTTGTTTAACTTTTCAGTACAAATTGGTGGTGGTGCTGTCCAGCCCTCAGACGCTCTCCCTTCGCTTTCACAAAGGGGAGATCGTCAACTAGCGTCACCCCCGTGACCCCGTCAGTCGACACCTGCACCGTCGCCGTCGACACCACCGACACCTCGTCAGGCTCAAAATGAAGATCAGGAGCAGGATCATCAGCAACAGGAGCAACGATGTCGTCAGCACGAGGTCAATAATTTTAATTATATAGATTTGCGGGTGGAAAACTCGTGGCAATTTAGGAATTTCACGATTCTAGGGAGAGAGGCGACTTTCGCGATACGGCCGCCACCTGAAGGTAGCGATATCGCTCAATGGCTAGAAAACGCGTTTCGTGAAATTCGAACGTATGCGGTACATACGTGCGAACTGAGCGATTACGTCGGATTATCGTTTGAGTCGAGTGATCTAGCGCGTGGTCCAGCGGGATTGTCGTTTCGTCCAGCACGCGATCTAACCCACGAGGACATATGGGGGCTCGTGAGTTCGTTGGCGCAAAGTGCTGGAGGAATCGATATCGCGGAAAATTTCACGGAACGCGTTTTCAGAGTTGCGCTACCTACCGGTCGCGGACGTCAGTCCAATCGATTAACGCACGAAGATGTAGCCAAACGCTCGATTTTACAAATTGTCAATTCCAACAATTTATGTTTTCCCCGTTCGCTTGTAGCGGCACGCGTGCATTACGATCGCGGGCAATTACGCGTGGGGGAACTACATGAAAAATGGGAATCCGTGAGACATCAGCGTTCTTCTTTACAACGCGAGTTGGCTAAAGAATTAACGATTTCTGCGGGTATCACGATTTCCGAGGAGGGATGCGGAATTCGTGAAATTGAGCAATTTCAACGGTTTCTCGCTGCGGAAAATATCGCGATAGTTGTTTACAATTTCAGTACTTTTGGTCGCGGCGAGAATCCGTTGTACGACGGCTGCGCGTTACTCTCCTCTCTAGGTCGTGAACCTTCATTCCGTTTAAATATTATGTATTACGAGCGTTCGAGGCATTATCAGCCAATTTTAAACATGAAAGCCGCGGCCGGTTCTCGAGGGGGGTATTGCGTGGCGTGCAACACCGGGTATCGGAACGGTAAAGGGCATCGTTGCGCAAGAAAATGTCCGCGATGTTACGCGATTCCGTCGTGCGAGGGTTCCGGCGCCGAGTTGGTTAGGTGCGATTCGTGTAATCGTACGTTCTTCGGAAATCCCTGTTTCGAGCGTCATCGTGCGGAAAGATCTCACGATGGAAAATCGGACGCAAGCGTTTGCAAATCCGTTAGAATTTGCAACGACTGCGGACGCTTCGTGAAATCGAATTCGCGTCACGACTGCGACGTTATCTTTTGTAAAATTTGTCGCTCGTTGCAAACTTCGAATCATTCTTGTTACATACAGCCTCTTCGTCGTAAAGTCACAGTCGAAGATCCCGGAGAGGGGACGAGTGCTGGACAGTGCGAGAAGAGAACCAGGTAAACGACGAAAATGACGTCGAAAGTGCGAATGATGCGCGAAGTAAAAAAGATCGCGTCGCATTCGTGTTCTATGACTTCGAAACCCACGAGACGAGACGCTCGAAGGAACGGAGAACGTAAAGACACACATACCGACTCTGCGTCGGGCAACAAATTTGCGAAACGTGCGCGGAAATACAAGAAATGTCGACGCGATGTCGTTCGTGCGGGATGCGTGAATTTGTTTTTCGCCATGATCCGGTAAAAGAATTTGTAGATTTCGCAACGCGAACGTCAAAATATTTTAACAAAATAATTTGTATCGCGCATAATGCGAAAGCGTTTGACGCTCAGTTTATCTTAAAATACATCGTAGAACAATTTGGCATAATTCAAGAGCCACGGATGATTTTGAACGGGACGAAAATTATCATGATGACGGTCGGTAACACGAAATTTATTGATAGCTCAAATTATATGGCGATGCGATTATCTGATTTACCTAAGGCTTTCGGACTGCAGGATACATCGGGTAAAGGCATCTTTCTTCATTTATTCAATAGAAAAAAGCATCAAGCATATATCGGACCAATACCTAGCGCACGGTATTATTCGCCCGAACAAATGAAACCCGAGGAACGCGAGCATTTTATAAAATGGCACGACGATATGACACAATCCGGCTTCCTTTTTTATTTTCAACGCGAAATAGTCAAATATTGTCGTAACGACGTTGATATCCTTCGACGGGCCTGCTTGGCTTTCAGGAAAATCTTTCTTGAACGCGGGAGCGTGTGTCCGTTCGTGGAATGCACAACTATCGCTGCTACGTGTATGAAAGTTTTTCGCAGAAGCTTTTTACACGGGAAAGAAATAGGAGTCATTCCAGTGGGTGGATACAGATATAGAGATAATCACTCGCACAAAGCCGTGCAGTGGTTGGTGTGGATGGAGCGTGAGCTCAATCTACGGATAAGCCACGCGGGACGAGGGCGCGAATTTCGGATTGCCGGTACGCCCGTCGATGGATATTACGAAACTGATTTGGGGAACGAGACGCAACGTTACGTGTTACAATTTCACGGAATTTGGCATGGGTGTCCATCATGCTTCCGAATAAATCGCGAGAGAAAACTCAGTTCTTCCACCGATCATGGCGATACGATCGACGCGCGCTACGAGCGAACTCTCGCGGCGACATGGCGTCTTCGACGACGGGGATACCTGGTGATGGAGAAATGGGAGTGCGATTTCGACCGAGAAATACGTGAGAATAATGAGATGCGCGATTTTCTTGAAAATGCTCAGATAATAAAGAATTCACCTCTCGATCCGCGCGATGCATTTTTCGGTGGCCGAACGGGGAATATAGCTACCCGATGCGATGTTGCGGGAACGGAGAAAATACGCTACATAGACGTATGCTCTCTGTATCCCTATGTACTGAAAACGGGTGCTTTTCCGATCGGTCACCCAAAGATCTACATCGGAGAGGAATGTTCCGAGTTAATCGGCGTATTTCCGGATTTTAATTTCAACTCGCTCGAAGGACTCATTCGTTGTAAAGTACTCCCTCCACGCGATCTCTTTCATCCGGTACTCCCGTATCGCGTACGCGGCAAATTGTTGTTCGCGCTGTGTCGGAGTTGCTGCAAAATGTTCTCGCAAGCTGAGTGTACTCACAGTCTCGCAGAGCGTAAATTCGAGGGTACCTGGGTATCCTGTGAATTACGCAAAGCCGTCGAGAAAGGTTATCGCGTGTCGGAAGTGAGAGAAATTTGGCAATACAAGGTCACGCGATATGATCCCGATACGCGGCAGGGTGGATTGTTTATCGGATATATCAATAGTTTTTTGCAATTGAAGCAGGAAGCTAGCGGATGGCCGAACGAATACGTGGATGACGAAGCTAAGGAGCGATATCTTCGGGAATACGAGGAAACCGAGGGTATCGTTCTCGATAAAAATAACATCGCTCGAAATCCAGGTCTACGTTCGGTTGCAAAGCTCTGCTTAAATTCCTTTTTTGGAAAATTCGGTCAACGATCCAATTTGCCTAACATCGAGATCGTGAAAAATTGCCAGCGATTGGCAGCTTTGCTCACGAGTCCAGAACACGAAATAACCGATATTACCCGTCAACGACGAGGTAATATATGTCTCGTGGAGATTGCGAGAAGAAGCGGTCGTAGCTTCTCCGCAGACAAACGTCGTGATCGCGGCATTCACGACGGCACTGGCGCGACTGAAATTATACGAACATTTAGAATTATTGAATAGGCGAGTATTGTATTATGATACAGATTCCTGCATATACGAGGTGTGATCAAAAAGTAAGGTGACTTTTTGAATTTCGCACGCTCTGTACACTCTAATTTCAAAATTTTTTTTTTGTTATGTTGGTACACTCGTCACGATCATATGTTCACAGAACTTTGACTATATAGCATGTGTTGTTTTTATGTGAGAGGCATAAAGGTTAGACTCGTGTTTGCGTGCTCGGCGATTTTTTCCTGTTGAAAATAATGGAGCAGAGAGTTTGTATTAATTTTTGTGTAAAAAATGGTATTAAGTGTTCAAAAACTCTTGAAATGTTGACAGTGGCGTACGGTGAGTCAACTTTGAGCAAAAAAAATGTTTATAAATGGTATAAGTTATTCCAAGAGGGCCGAGAAAATGTTAACGGTGAACCTCGCTCTGGACGCCCCAGCACGTCAAAAACCGACGAAAATGTTCAGGAAGTGAAAGAAATTGTGTTGAAAAATCGTCGAATCACGATTAGAGAAATAGCTGATGATCTTAACATATCGTTTGGCTCATGCCAATCAATTTTAACGGATGTTTTGGGTATGACACGTGTGTCAGCGAAATTCGTTCCAAAACTGCTTAATTTTGATCAGAAGCAGCGTCGCATGAACATCGCCCAAGACATGTTGAACGACGTCAATGATGATCCTGATCTGCTCAAAAGGGTTATAACTGGTGACGAAACATGGGTATATGGTTATGACGTCGAAACCAAAGCCCAATCATCCCAGTGGAAAAGCCCAAGAGAGCCAAGACCGAAAAAGGCACGCCAAGTTCGTTCGAATGTGAAAGTTTTGCTCACAGTTTTCTTTGATTACCATGGCGTTGTGCATCAAGAATTCCTACCACAAGATCGTACGGTAAACAAGGAGTATTACCTTGAGGTTATGCGGCGTTTACGTGAATCAATAAGAAAAAAACGTCCGGAAGTGTGGAAAGAAAATTCATGGATTCTGCACCATGATAATGCACCTGCGCACACGTCGTTACTAGTGAGTAGTTTTTTGGCCAAAAACAATACTGTCATCATGCCTCAGCCACCGTATTCACCAGACTTGGCCCCCTGCGACTTTTTCCTCTTCCCAAAATTGAAAAGGCCCATGAAAGGACGAAGATTTGCGACGATTGAGGAGATTAAGGCTGCATCGCTGGAGGAGCTCAAGGCAATACCCAAAAGTGCATTTCAGAAGTGTTTTGACGACTGGAAAAAGCGCTGGCACAAGTGCATTGTATCAGAGGGGGATTATTTTGAAGGGGATAACATAATTTTGGATGAATAAATGAATATTTTTTTATAAAAATGAAAAGTCACCTTACTTTTCGATCACACCTCGTATATAAGTACAGGCAATCCGAACGAGTACGAGCCACGTACGGGAAATTTTTTGGGGGATATGACCGACGAACTCGAGAGCTACGGCCGCGGTAGTTATATCGAGTCGTTCGTGTCGGCTGGAA